TTTTTTGCAAAATGACATCAGAATTGATTAAACCCATTGAAAACAGATAAGTGGCTGAGATCTGGCCACATCAGCGCCATAGGAGGAAACTCCCTCCTATGTCAATGACCTCCATTAATCTCATATATATATATATATATATATATATATATATATATACATATAAACCAATAAAATGTGTGTGTATATGATATTGAGCTTAGAGTATCATTACACATAATATAAACCCAAAATTACCTAAGCTATATTGATCTTCAATAAGCTCGACTTGGTAAACCTTGATCAAGCTTGATCTTGGATCTTGACTTGAAAGCATTGGCTTCACTCCTATTCCTTCCACCCTCCAATGGATATGATCATGAAAACTCGATTCCATCCAACCTCCAACACATTGTTTGCCTAGAATAAATAGGAAAACACAAACACTAGATAATCAATATTAGTTGTAAATTGTTTGATAAAACATCATCAAAACACGATCGCATACTGTCGTCCTTCTTCACGAAGAGAACTGGTGCTCCTCACGGAGAATGACTCTGGCAAATAAAACCCTGAGATAAAAGCTTATCTATCTGGATCTGTAGCTCCATAATCTCAGCAGAAGTCATACGATAAGGTGCACGAGAGATCTATACTATACACGGCTGCAACTCGATGCCGAACTCAACCTCTCTCACTGGAGGTAACCCAGATATGTCCTGATAGACATATTGATACTCTGAGATGACTCTGGTCTCGCTTAAATCAGCACCTAGATCTCAAAACATCAACTCATTGACGTATGCCAGATATGACTCCATAAACTGGTTGCTCTGTGAGGTTGTTAAAACTAATTCGGTCCTATCGGACGTTCGCAAGCTGACTATTTTCGTAAAATAGTCGATACTGACATGGTATGACGATAACCAATCCGTAACAAGAATAACATCAAACTCGGACATACACAGGACGATCAAATCGACCATGAACTCAGACTCGTCTAAGCTGATAATGCATCTCCTACAAATAGTTTCTAAGAGGGACACTTCTCCCAAAGGAGTAGAAACTAACAGAGGAATATCTAATGGCTGCGCTACAAGATAAAGTATAAACATGAAATTATAAGAAATGAATGAATGCGAAACTCCAGAATCGAAAAGAATACGGACTGGGAAGTACTTCACCAGAACGTACCTTCCACAATGGCCCCACTCGCACCACGATCGTGTGGTCCGACTACATGAACTCTGCCTTAAGCTGCGGTCTACTGCGCGAAGTGCCTGGAACGTATAGGACTATTTGTCCCTGTATAGAGATGTTAAATGGGTGGGTATGGGTTTTAAATGGGCGGGCCATAAATGGGCGGGCATGTTTTGCCCATTTACCCATTTATGGCCCATTTAACATTATTTAAATGGGCGGGTTTTTACCCGCCCATTTAATAAACGGGTCGCTCATTTGCCCATTTGCCCATTTAACTATAGCTAACACACTTTAACATATTTACACCACGAACATGATTAAAAGATCATATTTACACATAACTGTGCTTTAAACCATGTCTCTAAACATTACCATGCAGTTTTTTCAAGATCTACATAAAAAACAACAATATATTTTTTTCCCCGGCTAAGCGAGTAACAAGTATATAGACTATGAAAACATAGGAGCAGGGATTTCATTCCAGAGCTTGGAAACTAGGGGTACGTTCTGCCTGTTTCAGAAGCAGCAGCACTCCTCCAATACACAGCAGCAGCAAAGGGCAGCCATACTGCAACAATGAAACAAAGATCAGAATACATGACATGGATAAGTTTTGAAAGAACAAAATTACTTATCGTCCACTTCAGTCAAAATTCATCTCTCGAACATGGTCATGGTAGAGGATTTACGCACAACAACCTTATCGAATTTGAGAAGAAACCAGCAGGAACAGCTTCAGTTAAGCAATGCATACCTGTAGTAAATCTAACATTTGGTAAATCAGAACGCACTGGCCAAATTGACAATGCTGCGACTGACAATAATCACAACGCAAGGAAACAGTATAAACATATTACAGAAATCAACCAAAATAACTACAAGATTGCATTTAACCGGTGCAGCAAAATATTACAGGCAAAAGCCTACCTACAGAAGATTAAAAAAACTCCCTAGAAATTTTACCATTTTACCCTCCAAGATATAACCAGAGGAGGAAAATGTTCTTCACTGTATATCTTCACTATGTAGTAGCATAGATGTCTTGAAATAAACTCAGAGAGAAATGCGCAAAGCCAACCACATGAGTCACGACTCGGTCAGAAGTAAACAAAGTGAAATAACTTTTTGAACAGTTTAAAAGAGGTAAAAGAGCCTGACACATATATAAACTGATTGAATTCTAATCTGCCATAAATTTGTGCAAGAAAATATAGAAAATAAGGAAGATAGTGATGTAAGAATTAAAATGCGAGTTCAGTATTTGGAAAGTGATCGCCAGGGATTTGTTTTTCTCAGCGACAACCACAAAAACATAAACTTGTGCCATGTAATGCATCTACAGAATTTCTATATAATAAAGGTTGTGCCATATTATGCACGCTTAAATTGCAAATTGTCAAAATTCGAAAATGGCAACATCCAGGGGTCCTTTTACTTCAGAATTTCTAACTTTTGGTAGGAAACATAAACTTGTGAGAAATAAATACATATTAAAACAACAATTAATATTTAGCCAACAACATTAGAAAAGCAAGTTTATGATGTACACTAATTTCATGGAACAAGTAAAATCAATAATTTAATAGCACATCAATTTTGGTAGTAAACACATAATACAGTGGAATATAAATTGCAAAATAAACAGGAAATAAACAGGCAAAATAAAATAATGCAAGGACTATGATCAGAGATACCGGGGGGCGGTAGTGAAATAAGACATTTGATCATATTGAACCCCCTACATCTTAATTAATTCTATATTAGACCCTCAAATTTCCATATTTCTGAATTAGACTATGACAAAAACACAAGTGGAAATACAAGGGTCAATTGAAAGCAGCATACAGTAATCCAATATCCTCACACTTGTGGGAATAAGCAACAAATATCCCTCCTTTTGTTTAAACAACAAATATCCCTCCTTTTGTTTAAGCAACAAATATCAAGTCACCCATTCTCCATGACATCTATTGTTGGAATTTGACAGCTTAATAACCTCACATATTGAACTCTTTTCAAAGCTGTTGGCTTCCTGGTTGACTTCAAAAGTGGTCAGATACAGAACTCCAAGACTTATAATCTAATATCAACTCTAACCTTAATTAGTCGCGAAGGAAACTGTAATTTAATAGCATCACAGAGAAAACCCATCAGAAAAATTTGCATTCTAATCCCTTAGATTAGACCCAAAAAAGCATTCTATCCTATCCAGGACCATTTCCTCTTTCTTTGCGTCTCCTAAAACACTAAGCCTAGCATATCTAGAGCAATTAAACCATTGTTAAACCAAAAACTAAGCATGTTTTTGAATAATTAAAACATTATTATCCAATAACCAAACCAATGCTTAGATAACCATCCCCACTTCAAATAAAACAGAACAAAATCTCCAGCAAACAGTGAGCAGATCAAAACAAAAATATTTCTGCAAGTGCATCGGAAGCAAAGATCCCCAACGTTAAACTTGTTGGACGGAATAAACTCCACAAAAACTTTGTTGCCAGCTACCCATCTAACTAATTACGTACAGCAATCGATCGGGTTACTGTTATTATCTGATTAGATACAGGTTTTCGTATCTGATGAAGTCTGTTTGCATAACTACCCATCAGAAAAATTTGCATTCTAATCCCTTAGATTAGACCCAAAAAAGCATACACTATATTATAGTAAATTAAGAAACAAAAGAACAAATATATTTAATAAAACAGCTTCCGATGAGGATTTGTTGTTGGTGGCGGTGACGTTACCTTCGGCGGTGAGGTTAACGCAGCGGAGGACGCGGTGGCGGCGGCGGAGGAGGAGGAGGAGGAGGAGGAGGAGGAGATTGGGATCGGGATTGAGGCGGAGGAGATTGGGATTGAGGCGGAGGAGAAAGAGGAGATTGGGAATTTCAGAATTTGGGATCGGGTTTTGTTTTTGGTTTTGGGAATACGGTGGGCGGGCAAACGGGCGGATAAACACTGCCCATTTAGTGCCCATTTAGAATAATGTAAAATGAACCCGCCTAATTAGACCCATTTAATTAAATGGGTGGGCGTTGGGCGGGCCAAATGATGGGCGGGTCAGATGGGTAAATGGGTATGGGTCAAAATTGACACCCCTATCCCTATAGGATCTCCTGAATGGCTCGGACCTGTCCTACTAGCCCTTCAATTCTCAAAACTACTGGCAGTACCTCAAGTCTTAACTACTGGCCCTAACCTCAGCCCTGTCTACGTCATTGCTGCTGCTAACCCTGATTCCTTCCCTACGGGCCTCCTACCGGTGCGCTACGACACTCTACGACTGCGTGACCGATCTTGTGGCAATTATAACAAGCACCTTGGAATTTATGCTACTACTGAGTGCTCTATGATCATGCGTAGGTACCTTCTTATGAGGTTCTTGCTACAACTGTGAACCCTTGCCCTGCTACTAGGGTCCTCCGGGTCCTATAAATGGTCACTTTCCCTTGCCCTTGTCTCCAGTCTATCAGACTCTACCATTCCCTTCCTTACCCTTCTGAACATAGTCGTCTCTATCTCCAGTGATATAGCGGCATGTGTAACATCCCACACTGAATGAAAACGCCAAGACACTAAATAGTGATGTAAGGTCGGGCGAAGTCCCAGCAAGAACATCTAAGCTTGGTGCTCCCCAGTCTGCCAAATGCCCGTAAATCGAAGTAATCCCACAAACTTGCTCCATAGTCAGCTACAGTCATGTCTCCTTGCTCCAACTAGGCTAACTCTAACTTATTCCCGTCTTTCACCGATGATGATACATACTGCTCGTCAAAAAAGCTAATGATGTCCTCCTAACTGAGTGTCATGCACTTCTCCGGAGTGAACTGAAGTATGTACCAACCTACTGCATCACCCTTAAAGCTAAATACAGCTAACCTCTACTTCTGAATGGTGTTAACATTAAGCATATCCAAAATGTTCCCTACATCTTCCTTTCACTTGTGCGCCACAAGTAAATCCGATGTGCCATGAAAATTCGGTGCTCTCAGCTTCTGGTACCTCTCTACTAAACAAAGCCAGGCCTCCTACTCTACGATCCTATCATCAACTGGTGGTGGCGGTGTAGCTATCAGTGTATCTATCGGTGTTGCCTCTACATTCGTGGACCTAATTTGCCATCTTCTCTTCAATTGCTGCTAGCCGAGCTGTAAGCAGTGCTATGAGATTAATCAAATACTGTGGAGCCTATTGGGGCTCAAGCTCTGGTTCAGCCTGCCCAGCTCCCTGAGTAGGGTTCCTCTACGACCACGTCCTCTTCCGACTATCTATAATTTTAGGAGGAAAGCTTATGAGACACAGAAAATGAGATCTCCAGCATAAATGGTATAACATAACAATAGGAAAATCGTATCACATATCATTCACGCAAATACTTTTAAATCAAAGTAAGATAGTCATCATAAAAAAATTCATAATTCGCGGTTACACCACACACACCACACAGACACCCACAACCACTACACACACACATATATATACTATATAATATAGTATATATTATATATTATATATATATATATATATATATATATATATATATATATATATATATATATATATATATATACTATATCATATATATATATATATATATATAACATCCTCACTCAATCTAGGAATTCCTAGTGGACTCTATACATGATTCCTATGAAACTCTATCCTAGCTTCACGACTCGACACAGGAATGATCCTAAGGATACTGGAACTAGAGCTCTGATACTAACTGTGATGCCTCTGGTTTCACATATGGCTGCAGTCCAAGGTGAACCTAAGGATGTCAAACTTGCCATGCACCCACACTGTGCAAAGACACGTTTCACCATCATAGTAATATCTCTCTAGTGGAATCAAACAATAAGTGTAGGTACAAAATAGGCAAAAAAATAAAGATAATAATGCAATGAACATGATATGAAAAGAGATAACCAAGTCATCATGTTCCAACTGAATAAAATATGAAATATCTTGATACATAGAGTTAAATAAAATAGTACTAAGGCACTCAACCTTTACAAAATGAACTAAAACTCTTAACACCAGAAAATAAACAATAAACTAAAGTGGAGCATAAGAAACTACTAATATAATAAAGATAAAGACTAAGATGATACTCCATCAACCTGCAACTCTTTGTGCGCCTGACTTGCTATCTGAAAAGTGGGGAAACAATGAGAATCAAAACACTAGCGAGATCATCTTCACTGCCCCCAGGGGGAGGGGGTTAGGAGTATATATAAAAAAAAGTTAGTACATATACATATAAAACCATCTACCCTGAACTAATAGGAGATTGAGATTTAAAAATACACAACACGAGAATTAGTACATCGAACAAAATAATCTAAATAAGGAAACTCTCATGTATATACCATGTCTCAAATTGTTCATCGCTAAATCCTAACTCCAAAATCCTAGGAAATGAAACAGTAAAGAAAAGAAACTCCAAACTTCAACAATACCAGTTACATCAATTCCTCATATTACCCTCGTCTAGTTGGTTTAGTCACAACCGATAGAATATACAATTCATGTCAATATCAATGTAATACCCTACTCTCGGGTAATTAACATGGGAGCAAGAATGAAAACTGAATAATTCTCTATCCGGAATGTAAAAAATGCACATGGGTGAAGTCTACCACGATCTCATTATAGTATACCAACTAACACACCCTGAGTGTAATCCCTCGCGGTCTCGTTACGGAGTGCCAACTACCCCACTCAATAATGATGCGCAATGCAGTGTAGTCTGATGTGGTCTTATAGCAACATATCAACTAACCACCTTGAGTGCAGTCTATCGTAATCTCATTGCGATATACCAAATAACGCACTCAAGCATCCAACTATCATGTAATGCAA